TACCAGGGTTGTGGGCGGAGGATAATCCCCCGGGCTTTGCTGCCCACCACCCACCGGTGATTGTGGAGTTGAAACCAGTAGCCGCGCCTGTGCATATTCGCCAGAGGTCATGTTCTAATGAGGCTATAGTGGCAATATATGAGAGTATTCAAAGGTATCTGAAGGCAGGGATTTTGGTGCCTATTCAGTCGCCTTGGAATACCCCCATATTGCCCATTAGGAAGCCAGATGGATCCTACCGCCCGGTCCAAGACCTCCGGGTCATCAATTCCATGACAGTGACCATTCACCCTGTTGTGCCCAATCCATACACTTTATTGAGCCTGATTCCACCCAAAGCAGCGTGGTTTTCCGTTATAGACCTGAAGGACGCGTTTTTCACGATCCCAATTCATGAGGCAAGCCAACCCTTGTTTGCCTTTGAATGGGAAAACCCTAGGACTGGATTGAAATCACAATACACTTGGACAAGGCTGCCACAGGGTTTTAAGAACTCACCTACCCTGTTTGGTACTGCCTTGGGAAAGGACTTACAGCATTTTGTGCCTTGGCAAAGGGGGGATACCCTGTTGCAATATGTAGATGATGTGTTGGTCACAGGTCAGACAGAGGACACCTGTTGGGACAATACAGCCTCCTTGTTGGGTTTGTTGTCCCAGTGTGGTTATAGAGTGTCTAGGAAAAAGGCCCAATTGGTGAAGCAGAAGGTGCGTTATTTAGGGTATGATATTGAGCATGGACATAGAGCCTTGGGATGGGAAAGAAAGCAGGCAGTTTTGGCCATAGCTGAGCCCACAAACCGGAGACAATTACGAGGTTTTCTGGGCTTGGCTGGGTTTTGCCGCATATGGATTCCAAATTACGCCCTTATGGCAGCTCCGTTATATGCAGCTACAAAGGGGGGTGAACATGAGTTGTTTTGCTGGGAGGGAGAACAGAAAAAGGCTTTTAGGGATGTGAAGCTGGCACTCACGTCAGCTCCAGCCTTGGCTTTACCAAATCTGGAAAAGGCGTTTAATTTGTATGTGGATACTAGGGATAATGTGGCTTTAGGAGTCTTAACAACTAGGCCAGTGGCAACGGCCGGTAGCATATTTGTCTAAACAATTGGATGGAGTGGCACAGGGATGGCCACATTGTTTGAAGGTCCTTGCTGCTATAGCAGTCTTGCTGCAGGACTGTAATAAATTGACCTTCTCATGTCCTGTAAATGTACACACTCCCCATGCAGTGCAGGCCATTTTAGATAACAAAGGGCATCTGTGGATAAGCAATCAAAGACTTTTTAAATATCAAGCTCTAATGATTGAAAATCCACAAGTAAGGTTGATTGTCTCAAATCGGCTGAATCCAGCCACTTTGTTGCCAGGAGACATCAATATGGAACATGATTGCTTGCAAGTGTTGGAGAGTGTTTATTCTAGCAGGCATGATTTGTCGGACATCCCTATGCAGGCAGCTCAACTCAATTGGTATACGGATGGGTCCAGCTATATGCATGAGGGAAAGAGAGTTTCAGGCTATGCTATAGTGGATGATGAAAAAGTGGTGGAGAGTGGGCCTTTGGGCCCTGAACATAGTGCACAAGTGGCTGAATTGTGGGCATTACTTAGAGCATTGGAAAGAGCTGTGGGTGAAACTTTGAATGTGTGGACAGACAGTAAATATGCTTTCCTAACTTTACATGCACATGGGGCTGTGTACAAAGAGAGGGGATTTCGTGACTCAGCAGGAAAATATGTACAACATGGACACCTCATTCAACGCCTCCTTAATGCAGTGCAGATGCCAACTAAAGTTGCAGTTATGCATTGTAAGGGGCACCAGAGAGGAGTAGATAAGGTGGCACAAGGGAATAGGAGGGCAGATTTGGAAGCTCGGAGTGCTGCTAGGAGAGGAGAGTCTACCATAGACCTCTCCATACATGTGGCCATGGATCTGGGAGTTATACCCCCGACAATCCGACCAACGTATTCCCAGCAAGAATGTGTTAAGGCAGTTACAGATCTTAAGGCAACTCTTAAGGATGGGTGGTATGTGTTATTGGATGGGCGCATCTTCGTTCCACAGTCCTCAGCTTGGGCTTTGGTTCAATCGTCGCATGATGCTACCCATATGGGTAAATTAGGGCTGGAGGAGGCATTGGGGCGAGACTATTACATCAATGGAGTGGCTGGCATGGCAGCTCGAGTTGTCTCCCAATGTGCTACCTGTGCCAAGGTTAATCCTAGGCAAGGACCTCTCTTACCCCCGGGCACTATACCATCATCATACTTTCCTATGGACTCTGTAATGGTTGATTTTACTGACATGCCTAGATGTGGGTTGTACAAAGCTCTTGGTTTTTGTGGATAGGTATACAGGTTGGCCTGAAGCCTTCCCCACTAAAACGAAGCAGGCAAGGGAAGTGGCTAGAATTTTGTTAAAGGAATTGATCCCGCGGTTTGGAAGCCCAACCCTTATCTCATCAGATAATGGGCCTGAATTTATACATCAGATTAATCGGGCTGTGGCCCAGTCAGTGGGGTCCAAGTGGCGGTTCCACAGTGCTTTCCATCCTCAATCGGGAGGTTCTGCTGAACGAATGAACCGCACCCTGAAAGAGAAAATCACTAAGATTTGCGCTGGAAGTCATTTGAAATGGCCAGATGCCTTGCCCTTGGCTTTGTATGCTATTAGGTGTGCACCTCGTAGACAATGTAAACTGTCCCCCTACGAGTTAATGTTTGGGCGGCACCCTACCCTACTGCGACGGAATTTGGCCGGCTGGCCAGATTTGGGACATAAGGGAGGAGTGTGGGCACTGGAAATGGTACAAGAGCTGAATAGACAAGTAGAGAAGCTCAGAAACTATGTTGTTGAACAAACCCCGCCTAAGTTGGTGACCAGGTGTCACTCTTTTAAACCTGGGGATAAGGTATGGGTTAAACATTGGAAAAAGGAACAGTTGGAGGGTCGGTGGAAAGGGCCGTATGAAGTAATAATGGCCTCCCTTCTTGCTATCAAAATTGCAGAATCGAAGTCATGGATTCATTGGACAAGGGTTAAAGCGGCTGCTGACCCCTTGTGGAAAGTGTCATCACAACCCATGGCTCCTACCAAGCTCACTTTTAAACGTATTTAGTGTCTGCTTTATTATTTGTGTTCTTAATACTTTCCTTATATAGGATTTTAACCCTTTCTGAAGCTACTTTGCTGGAACCTTACCGGCAATAGGTTCCTCTACGCACAGTGGTGAAGACCCTTGCTGAGCCACACCGGAAGCTGGCTTTCTACGCACGGGAGAAGATAGGATGAAGATC